CTCATCATTGATGTTTCTATCTCCTTCTCCCTTCCTCTCTGAAATCAATAAAATTATATTAAAAAAATAAATGAGTTTATGAAGGTAATACAACTTAAAGCATTTTGAGCTGGTCAGGCAGGAGCTGAAGCACTGTCAAAAAATAATAAAGGAAGCTCTAGCCAGTGTGACTCAGTTGACTGGAGTGTCATACTGTAAACGCAAAGGTGATGGGTTTGATTCCCAATCAGGCACATACACAGGTTGCAGGTTTGAGCTCCAGTTGGGGTGTGTGTGGGAGATTATTGTTTCTCTCTTACATGGATGTTTCTCTCTCTCCCTCCCTTCCTCTCTCTAAACCAGTAATAATGATGACGAAAAGTTTACCTGCACCAATAAATAAATAAGTCTCAAGAAAAACACCTAATGATGTTAAAAAATGATGCAAAAATGACTAAGTATCTTTAAATATAAGCTTAGAAACTCATACCTGCCAGGAGGTCTGGCTTGGAAAAATCTAGGTTATTTTGGGCAATCTATGTACGTTTTGTAAAAGATGCATACAAGTGAATACTTTTTAAAAGCAGAGCACGGCTTTCTGAAAAACTCAGCTGTTCATAGATGAAACCTGCTCTCCCTCCTCCAAGCTTGAAATATAAGGTACTCAGAAGACTCACTTCCTTTCTACCCATTCCAAGACAATACCATTCTCAAGTTTTCAGTTACCAAAAACATGGATTCCCACTCCCCCCACCTCAAGTAAATATATATAATCTTTAGCCACTTAAATTTATTTTTAGGACAATTACAAGGATTTATTGGTGTGGTCCTGAGTCACTAGCTTTGATGCAAGTGGAACAGAAGTGATGTGGGCCCAGAAGGAAGCTCAGATCAACCTAAAAAGCGACCCCACCCAGGAATCCAGACTATTCAAAGATACACACACAATTAACACACACGTAAGTATAAACTCACCACTGCTCTTTATTCTGACATTAGAACCCCTCTAATTCTACTTGGCATTAAAATATCCTTTCCTTTTATAATAGTATGGTCATAGCAGGTAATGTTCTTTTTGCTTTTTAATTAAACAACCTTACTGGGTCAAATGACTGTCAATGACAATAAGTCTCCCCAACTTAATTATATGAATTTTATAATACTTTGTGAAATCCCCAAATCTGGAAACAATTAGAGCATTGGTCCTGCGCCCCCACCCCCACCCTTGGCAATCCCTGGATATATCTGGTTGTCACAACTGGGGAGGGGGGTCGTTATTGGCATCTAATGGGTGGAGGCCAGGGATGCCGCTTGACACCCTTAAGTGCGTAGGAGGGCCCCAAATGTCAATAGTGCTGAGGTTGAGAAACCCTGAATTAGTCTAGTTGATGTCTCTAACAATTCTTAATTCAGTCAACCAACACATATCGGGCACCGACTATGTACCAAGCATTGTGCCAAGAGTTGGGGATAAAATAGGAGTCAAGCTGGTCAGAGGGCAAGCTAGTCTTCTTTGGTTCATCACCCTGTTTCCAGGGCCTGTTGGGTACTAGAAACCCCCATCCCAAGACACTTCATATCCAGAAGGATGAGAAGGCGGGAGTCCCAGCTTCCTGACCATCCCCACCATGCAGGCCCCTTACCTAGACTTGCCCTAACCATCAGACACAACTGTTACGGTCTCCCAGCCCATGTGACCCCGGATATCAGTTTCCCCACCCGGCCAGAGGGTGGTTGCAGGGTCCTACTTGCTCAGGGGACACAAACGTAACCTGCAGACCTGGCCCTTTCGCCTCCCTGGGTCTCAGTTTCCTCTCCTGGCCACAAAGACCCGTCACCGCAGAGGGCCCCGGAGGAGTGAACTTAACGCAAAAACACGGGGGGGTGGGGAGGGAATGGTCGCTGCCCCAACAATAACCTCAAGGAGAGCACCCTTTGATCGTAAGGCCCTTTATCGGGATTGGAACCACCCCACCAACCGAACATCAGGCTCAAAGAAGCGTCCTGGGGCCGGGAGGCCCGTCTGTCCCCAACCACTAGAATCGGCCCATAAGGGCCGCTCGCCGCGCCCCCACTACCCCGCCGCGAGGGCCCTAACCGACCTGCGGACGCTCCCCTGGCGCCCGGAGCCCCGCAGTCCCGCTCCTCCAGCATCGTCCCGGCAGCGGCTCGCGGTCCCCTCGGGCGACGCAGGCGCGGGCTACGCTCCGGCGGCGGCTCCTGCTCGCCCTCCCGCCCGCGCCGCTCCAGCCGCGGCCGCCGCGCTCGTATTTGGCGGGAACCGCGGCGACCCCCGCAGCCCGTGCGCCTATTGGACAAGAGGGCATCACGTGAGGTCCCGCCTCGGGAAATGGGGAGCGCAGGAAGTATCCTCGCGAGATCCGTGGCTTCCATTCCTCCCATAGCTCCCCTATTGATATTCCCGCGGAGAAGCGGGCTTTCTCTGGGCGGACCGTGGGAAGAAGGTGTTCTGCGATTGGGCGTAGGAGGTGTCAAGCCAAGAGATCGACACTGTAATTGGCTAAGTGCGTGGGACTTAGGAGGAGGGCGGTCCAAGGCTCTTACGTCATGACGAAACGTTTTACGTAGGGTGCAGGTGACAACCTGAAACTGCAAGTTAGGTGAAGATTGAAGTTGTGAGTTTATTCTATTTGGACATCGGCTGAATATAGCAACACAAATTAAGTCTACAAATTACTGCCCCCCGGTAGTTCAATTCCCAGTCAGTGCACATGCCGGGGTTGCGGACTCGATCCCCTGTAGAGGACGTGCAGGAAGCAGCCTATCCCATTCATTTTTCTATCTCTATCCCTCTCACTTCCTCTCTCTAAAAATCAATCAAATCACATTTTTTAAAAAGATTATAAATTACGTTTTATATGAACAAAGACAAAATCTGGGCAGCATTTGATATACATTAAACATTCTGAGGGAATTAATGAAATAGATGTTTCTGATTTAATCCTCAGGGTTTTTGCATAAGCTGTTTCTTGCCTAGAAAACTATTTTCACACCTTTTGTGCTGGTTAATTTCCACCCAACTTTCAGATCTTAGACTGGCACACCAACAAGAAGTTCCTACAATTTTTTTTTATATGAAACACTTCACGAATTTGCGTGTCATCTTTGCGCAAGGGCCATCTCTGTATCGTTTCAATTTTAGTATATGTGCTGCTGAAGCGAGAACGACTTTTTTTCTCCTCCTCCTTCTTTTTTATTTTTTGCAATTACAGTTTATTATATTCTGACAATACGCAATGATCTAGACCAGTGGATCACCGTTGAGGCTGCCCATCATTATTACCTGGGTATTTTTTCAAACCATTTATAATAACCCCTTCAGGATCTTCAGTGGGGGAGGTTGGGGCTTGCATACTCTGAAATAATCCTCTGATCTAGTCCAGTACCTTCTATTTAGACATTTGGAAACTTTCAGTAACCTTTTGCTGCAAAAAATTACCCAAATCTGTCAGAGATTTCAGCACTGAAGCTGCAAACACTTTAGCTCTAGTCACTTTCTTGTTCCTCTATTTGGATTAACTTACTCATTCTGACTTATTATTAATTTCCTATTTATTCAATACATTTTCTGTTTTAAATTTAAAATTTTTTGTTAAACCTCACCCAAGTATTGACACAGTTATTTTCCATGGATTTTTAGAGAGAGTGGAAGGGAGGAGAGAGAGAGAAGAGAAAGAGAGAGAGGAGAGAGAGAGAGAGAGAGAGAGAGAGAGAGAGAGAGAGAGAGAGAGAGAGAGAGAGGAAGAGAGAGAGAGAGATGGATGTGAGAGAGATACATCAGTTGGTTACCTAACACATGCAACGTGCACCCAATAGGGGCTGGGGACCCAGCCTGCAATGGAGGTACCCTTGACAGGAATGGAACCTGGGACCCTTCAATCAGTGGGCAGATGCTCTAATTACTGAGCCAAACTGGCTAGGGCTCAATAAATTTTCATCAATAAAAATTGATTTTAAGTCATTATCAGTATGCCCTGGCCAGTGTGTCCAGTGATTAGAGCATCCGCCAGTGCACGGAAAGGTCGTGGGTAGGATACTGGGTCAAAGGCAGGTACCTGGGTTGCCAATTCGCTCCCTGTCCCCAGGAAGCAGCCAATCGAAGTGTCTCTTTCACATAAATATTCTGTCTTTCTCTCATCCTCCCTCACTTACACTCTCTCTCTGAAAAGCAATATCTGAAAAAGAAATATCCTCAGGTGAGGATTAAAAAAAAAAGTCACTATCAATAAACACGTTGAATCCAGGAAGGCTTATTGGAAGAGGCGATATTCCAAGCAAATTTCTCTTTAATACACAAAACAATGGGGAGAAATATTAGGGAAGAATGTGCAAGATAGGAACATTAGCAAAGGCCCAGAGCAACAGATATCCTGAACTGTAGTATAAGAAGAGAGCCCCCAAATCAGCGGGTGGATGGAGGCCAAATTATGCAAGCTTTGTAGGCCATATTACGAAGTTGGGAGTGTATTCTGAGGGCAGTATGTGAGCTTTAAACGGGGAGCCGTGATCTAAATTCTGTTACAAAAGCACCTTTCTGGCCTCCTGATAGGGGATAAATTGGAGAGGGAAACCCGAAGATGGGTACAACAGAGCGGAAGTTGGTGGTTGGTTTGGTCAGGGCGAAGGACAGTGGAGATAGTGGAAATGAGATAGAAGCGACACCCTGACATCTGACTTGAGCAACTGATTGGATGAACACAGGGCAGGGTTCTGGGTAGGATGGTAAGGACTAAACGACCCGAATGATGGAATTCGGTATAGCTGAGATTAATAAACAATTATCTGGATATTTATAAACTCAGTCAGTTTCCCCAACCTCTCCAGAAAAGTTTAAGCACCTTTCCCAAGGCGTCAGATAGAGCCACCTCCCGGCTTCTAGGGGTCGCTGCAGCCGCCCTGGCCGCTCTAGACTCTCCCCGGTCCACTCGCTGGCAGAAGCGGACGCTTCCGAGACAGGCGAAGTGCGCGTGCGCCGTCCGGCCGGCTGGTTGCGTGCGCGCGCTCAGGCCCGGTCGGCGCCGGAAGTGTGCGGTTGCCATGTAATATCCTGGCCGCGCGGGCGCGAGAGGGGCTGAGGCTGCGCCCGGGCGGCGCGGAGCTGGCGTGAAGGCTGCGGAGGCGGTGCCGACGGGGCCAGCTGAAGCGCGCGGGGGCTCGGCGGCGCCCGGGAGCCTGTCGCTTGCGCTGTTTCTCCGGTTCGCTGGGTCCCAACGGGAAGTACGACGGCGGAAGGCAGAATGTCGGTGGCGGGGCTGAAGAAGCAGTTCTACAAGGCGAGCCAGGTGAGCGGAGGGCGAGCTCCGGGACCCGGGCTTCCCGGAATGAGGGGCCAGGCGAGGCCCGGCTCTGGTTCGGCGGCGGGCCGGGGACACCAAGGGGGCGGCGTTGGCGCGTGTTCTTCGTTGGGTCGGGAGAGCCCAGGAAGGCCGGGGGTTTCGTGCGAGGTGGTCCGGATCCTGCCCGCCTAGTGGGCTCCAGTCTCCTTGGATAGACCCCAGAGAGGCCCCCGGAGGTTGATCTGGGTTGCGGATCCCACCCCCTTTCCTCCCCTCTAAAAGGGCAGGGACGGGGAAAGACAAAGGGAAGAAACAGGACTCTTGCCAGCCAGTCCAGGAAGAGGAAAAATGTGTGTCTAGATCAGTTCTTTAAAGCCAACAACAGAAACCCGTTGGATGGACCCGGTACAAAGTTGAAAGGGTAAAAAGTCGGTTCCTCACTCCAGTCTGTCAGGCGTTCAGACCATCTACCCTAAGACAAGGACTGTCACTGACGATTTATGTCTCTTTTCAAAGATATGTGTCCGCCTTTCCTTTAAAAACACACACAGGTATGGAACATAGTCTACAGCAGGGATGGGGAACCTTTTTTCTGCCCAGGGCCATTTAAATATTTATAACGTCATTCGCTTAATATAATTCACTTAAAATAAATTTATGTTGCTATGAAAAAAACAACACAACTCCTGGATTTGTTGAATTTCGAGTCCTACCTGCAGGTGCCTTGGTAGGGCCAGATTAAATGATTTCTCCCACGGCTGGAAGTTCCCCACTCCTAGTAGCCAGAGGCCTGTGTTCTTTGAGTGTTTCGTTAAATGTGTCAGAAATCTCCACCTCAGGTCACTCTCCGTTGGGAGGGGGTATTCTGGGCTCTGTGGGATATTGAGCAACATCTCTGGCTCAAGGCCAGGAGCACCCCCGGGGGTGACATCCACAAATGTCTCCAGTCCCTGCCAGTTGCCCCTGGGGAACCCCTTCTTCCCCCTGCCCCAGCATTACTGCACTAGAACAAACCCCTAGAGCACACGTGTCAAACACAAGGCCCGCGGGCCAAATCCGTCCTGCCAGGCCTTGCAATGTGGCCCGCACCGCGCTGTCATCACTGCACTCTGCTGCGTTTCCATCACAATGACAGTTTATGACTGTTCAGTAAACCATTCGGCCCGCGATTTAGGCTGGATTTTAGATTTTGGCCCCTTCTCTGATTGAGTTCGACACCCCTAGTTTAGATTATTTCCAGTAGTTTTCTGCTACGGTGAATAGACACTCTTTGCTCACAGAAGGGATTGGATTTATAGGATAAATTCCCAGAAATGGAATGCTGAATCCAAAAATATATGTGTTTTACATGTAACCAATTATATAGGTTTTGTAGGAAATTGGGGCAAGAAGCCTAAGATTCCTTGAATTCTGTTGGTCCCTGCATCCCAGGTTATGAACCGTAGGTGTGCTGTTTGTGTGGATATAGACTCCCTGGAGGACTGAGCGCTAGTCTTAGGAATTGTTTGGGCCTTGCTGGCAAACGTGACTGTACTGATTTGAAGAGATCCATTGGGATAAAAGAGAAACAAATCTCTAATAACACAACTGGTATCTTTTTTTTTTTTTTTTTAATCTTCACCCAAGGATATTTTTTCCCATTGATTTTTGGAGAGAGTGGAATGGAAGGAGGAAGTGAGAGAGAGAAGCATCAGTGTAAGAGAGATACATCCATTGGTTGTCTGTCATACGTGCTGCAAACGGGGTGAGGATCAAACCTGCAACCCAGATACCCACCTTTGACCAGGAATCAAATCTGAGACCCTTCAGTGTGCGATTGATTCTCTAACCAGTGAGAACACCAGCCAGGCCACAGCTGGTATCTTATCCCTTAAGAGGAAAAGTCATGCTGAAACCGGTTTGGCTCAGTGGATAGAGCAATGGCCTGCGGACTGAAGGGTCCCGGGTTCGATTCTGGTCAAGGGCATGTACCTTGGTTGCGGGCACATCCCCAGTAGGGGGTGTGCAAGAGGCAGCTGATCGATGATTCTCTCTCATCGATGTTCCTAACTCTGCCCCTCTCTCTTCCTCTCTGTAAAAATCAATGAAAAAAAAAAAAAAAAAAGGAAAAGTCACAACCCTAGTGGTTGTCTAGGGCTAAAGACAATTGGGGTCAGTCTGTAGACCCAGATGATTGCTAAACCCTCGAGGAGAAAAGATTTTATCTGGAGCAGGGCTAGGAAGCATCCAGCCCTCTGGCCAAATCATTTGGTCTGGCCCTGCCAAGGCAACCACAGGCGGGACTTGAAATTCAGTAAATCGAGGAATTTTTTCATAGTAACATAAGTTTATATCAAGTGAATTATATTAAATAAATGATGTTATAAATACCCAAATGGTCCTTGGCAGAACAAAGGTTCTCCACCCCTGATCTAGAGGGATTCTAGGATTATTGTTGAGAGTACAGCCCTTTGCCCTAAAAGGATGAAATTAAGTGATCTGGCTCTAGATTAGACCTGCTCAGCAGGCATCCGACCCCCGTGTGCTTGACTGGAGTACCCCGGGAAGCTGCTCACTGTCTTGGCCCGGTGTAGTTCCTCCTGCGGGACTGGTGTCTCCATAGGTCTTGGAAAGATTACAGGCTGCTCTGTTTCCTCACACAGACAGGTCTCTGGAAAGCCCTCCGTACCTCACCCCAGGGTCTGTGCTGGTGGTCCATCCCATCCCAAATTAGCTGGGCCTCTCAGGCCAGCCACCAGAGCCTTTTCTCTGAGGGGGAAACAGGATGCCTACATTCAGATCTGTGGGAAGTGCTTCAAAACCTGGAAAACACAATGCACTGTATATTAGTGGTTTGCATCAATTTATTATCTGAGGCCCAACCCCAAAGAATTGCAGCAATGGCCATATCCTAATCTGAGAGCAATTCCATGTTGAATTGTGCTCTCAGGAATCACCCTGGCTGTGTTCCATTCTCTTCTGCAATAGTTTCTGCAGTCCTCCAGCATCTCCATTGTTCATCTGGCCTTGTCTAACTCCCTGTGTGTTTCTTTTCTTGATCTTAAGAACAGTATTTTTCATCCTCTTCTGTGTCCTCAGAATAGGGTTGTCTGTTGAAAAGTAATGTAATAATTGATATTTATTGAATTATCAGTGTGAATCGACAATATGCTTTAAATCAGTTGATCTCAACTGGCCTCACTTATCTGGCCTAAGGGTAAATATATTCCCCTTGTTACATAAAAAGATTTGTGGACATTTATCTTCCTGTCCAGAACAGTGCTTTTCAACCAGGGCCACCTCCACCCTCCAGGGGACATTGGCAATATTGGGAGACATTTTGGTTGTCACAACTTCAATTGGTACTGGTATATAGTGGGAGGAGGCCTGGGATGCTGCTCAACACCCTACAGTGCACTGGGCAGGCCCACACTCCAAGAATTCCCTGGACCCAGATAGTATGCTGAAGCTGAGAAGCCCTGCTTTAAGGTTTGAGAAAAGTGAGGATAATTACACACCCTCTGCCCCCAACATCACTTTGAGGCCATTCTTGTGGTAGCTGCCTGCTTTTCTCAGTTTTTAAAACATAGATAACCACATATACACAGATGGGCATGCACATAACACTCAGCATCCACTTCCCAAATCTTTAGAACTCCAGTGTCTTTGGCATCTGCTATTTTTAAGAAGGAATAAGCCTGCATCATTGCTTCTCAACCAGGAGTGACTAACCCTGCCTTCTTTCATCTCCTCCCGTGCACCTTCCTGGGAACATTTAGCAACGTCTGAGACAGGTTTGGGTGTCACCACTTGGGGAGAGGTGCTGCTGGCATCAAGTGGGTAGAGGTCAGGGATGGTTGCTAAACATCCTACAATGCACCGGACAGCCCTCCCCACAACAAAAAATTATCTGGCCCAAATGTCAGTAGCACCAAGATTGAGAAATCCTGCTTTGAAACAGGTTCTTGATTTCAAAAGCTTATAACAGTGTTGTTTCTAAATTGAGAAAGAGAAGCCAGGTGTATGTGTGAGAGAGAGCTAGACTTGGCTCCAGGAATAGAGAAACTTGTTTTCTAGCAGGTGAGGCCGTGATGTTAATTAAAATTTTCTAATTTCATTGATGATATTAGTAACAAACTAGCTACTAGTACAGGCACACCTGTTTTATTGCACTCAGAGATGTTGCATTTTTTACAAATTGAAGGCAATCCCCTCACTCTCCACCCCATCCCAAGCAAAAAGATTATGACTTGTTTTATTGTGGTTTGGGACCCAACCTCAGTATTCCCAAGGTCTGCCTGTATCTGGCAGTTTGCTGGAAAATTCCACACCATTTCAGTATCTTTGGTGAAAATGTTCAGGTCTTGCGAAAAAATCAGCTTGGGCTTGAGTGGGGAGTTTGTGAGTGAGTTTTACTTCTTATTATGAATTGGCCACTGCCTGGATTTCAGGCCTGGGCTGACGGAAGTTGAAGAATCTATAGAGGAAAGCAGTAAGAGAAATAGGCATCTGTCCTGGGCATCATTTTGGTCCAGAGAGGACCTGCCTGTGTCATGCCCACTTCCTCAGTAGCTCTCTGATAGTTAGGGGATGGTGCTCTTTATATGCATATTTCTGGGAAACTGCGGAGGGTAAAGGAACTTTACTAGTGAGATCTGATAATTCTTGTGGTTGGGTTGTGGAGAGATCTGAAAGTGTAACTAGGGATAGAGCTGGAAGCTGCCTGGAATGCTGGCCTGACTTTTTTTTTTTTTTTTTTTTTTTGTCTGAAAGGAGGGAGAGAGTTTGGACTGAAAGATTGGTTTTGTCTGAGTTAGGAGGAAAATTCACAACCACCATATCACATAGCTTTTAAGTTTGTTGGGTGCTTGCTAGTGTCACATACACATCCACACCCACCCTCACCCTCTTTGGTGCCTAGGAGGAAAGATTGAACTTCCTGTGAGAGGCATGGGTGGGAGGGAGACCTTGGGGACCTAGGACCTCAACCTGTTAAGAGTGTTTTTGGGAGATGTGGTTAATGTTTG